TGATGCCATTTCATAATAGAAACCAACTTTCCAGTTTCTTTATAATCAGAATCAATTTCCCCAACTAGTCTTTGTTATTTCTGGGTTATGAAGACCTTGAAATGGCCAGATGGCAGTTTCTATTTCCAATCTAATATATCTTTTATTGTGTCTACTGATGGAAACCTTCCTCCTTCAGGAATTGAGACCTTTAAATCAGCAGAAGCCAAATATGTAAGAATTAAAAGCAAAAATTCTGAGAGTGGGTTATTAAGTTTAGTAGTGAGAAAAGCCAGTTCCACATCCATTTCTTCATTTTCAGACCCTTACATTATGGCAATTAGAGAAATGACACTATATATTGGGTGCTGCCTCAAAACAGATTCTGTATGATAATGTTCAGTTCTTAGAGTGTTGTTTCTTCACTGCAACTTATTGAATCTTCAGAAAGCTATCCAATAGATTTCTCAGACTAGATGCTTCTTAGTAACAGGTATATGCTAAGACCAGTGAATTCAATTACTGCACTTCTCTTGCTGTAAATTGCTTTTCTTGATTAGAAGCAACTGTGTGGGATACTTTGAAAATGAATAAAGTGTTCCTTGTTTCCATTAGAAATACTTTGGGCAGAAATATTGTGGGCAATGAGGTCAGTAGACTTGAGGGGGTAACTGCTATTTTAAAAACAAAGACACCCACTCAAGACTTGAAGGAACATAAAAAAAATCTAGGTAATGTAACATCAATAAAGGACTACAATAATTTCCAGTAACAAACCCTAAAGACATAGAGATATCTGACTTAGCTAATAAAGAATTCAAATTAGTTGTTTTAAGGAAGCTCAGTGAGCTACAAGAAAACACAGAAAGACAATTTGATGAAACTAAGAAGACAATACACAAACAAAATTAAAAGTTTAACAGAGAGATAGAAATAACAATAATAAAAAAACAACTAAACAGAAGTTGTGGAGCTGAAGAATGCAATGAATGAAAGAAAAAATGCAATAGACAGAATCAATATTAAAATGGATCAAGCAGAAGAAAGAATCTGTGAAGTTGAAGACAAGACCTTTGAAATTACTCAAAGGAAAATAAAGAAAAATAAATTTTAAAAAATGAAGAAAGCATATATGAAGTATGAGATTCAATCAAGAGAAGCAATCTGAAAATTATTGGAGTCCCAGTAGGAGAAGACAGAGAAAACAAGGAGAAAGCTTATTTAAAGAAATGATAGCTGAGAATTTCTAAAATCCAAGGAGAGATTCAGCCATTCTTGTTGATGAAGCTAATAATCTCCAAATAATTCAACTCAAAAAGATCTTCTCCAAGGCATATTACAATAAACTGTCAAAAATCAAAACAAAGAGGGAATCTTAAAAGTAGCAAAAGAAGCTTATCATGTACAAAGGAACCCCCCATAAATCTACCAGCAGAAACCTTACAGGCCAGGATAGAGTAGGATGATATAATCAAAGTACTGAAAGAAAAATAAAACCTTGCCACCATGAATACTTTATCAAGCAAATTCGTCTTTCATAAATGGAGAGAAAAGACATTTCCAGATAAACAAAAGCTACAGAAGCCCATCACTACTAGACTTACCTTATGAAAAATGCTGAAAGGGATTTTTCAAGCAGAAATGAAAAGATGCTAATTAGTAACATGAAAACATATGAAAATATACCACAAACTGGTAAAGCTAAGCATATAGTCAAATTATAATACTTTAATACTGTAATATGATGGTGTATTAACCACTTGACTCTAGTAAAAAAAAAGGTTAAAAGACAAAACTATCCAAATAACTATGGCTATAGTAATTTGTTAAAAATATACAATACAAAAGAGGTGAACTGTCACATCAAAAACAAAATATGTGGAGTGGAGTAAAAGGGTAGTTTTCATATGCTATTAAAGTTAAGTTGATATCAGTATAGAAGATACTATTATATCTATAAGATGTTTTATGTAAGCCTCATGGTACTAACAAAGCAAAAACCTACAATAGATACACAAAAGATAAAGAGAAGGGAATCAAAACATACCAATATGGAAAATCATCAGTTCACAAAGGAAGATAGTGAGAGAGGAGGAAAGGAACAAGTGAAATACATAACAGTGAGAAAACAATTAGTAAGATGACATTAGTAAGTCCTTAACTATTAATAATTACTCTAATCAAAAGGCATAGAGTGACTGATTAGATAAAAGAACAAGATCAATTATATGCTGACTACAAGAGAAAAATGTCAGGTTTAATGATACACATAATCTAAAAGTGAAGGTTTAAAAAAATATATTCCACGTAAGTGAAAACCAAAGAAATTAAGGATAGCTATAGTTATATTAGGCAAATGGACTTTAACTCAAAAGCTATAACAAAAGACAAAGAAGGTTATTATATAATGATAAAGGGGTCAATTCATCAAAAATATATAACAATTGCAAGTATGTATGCATCAAACATCAAAGTATATATATTAAACAAATATTAACAGATATGAAGAAAGAAATAGACAACAATACAATAGTAGGAGACTTCCATAATCCACTTTCAAAAATGCATAGGTCATCTAGACAGAATATTAACAAGAAAATGGTGGATTTGAACTACATTGTAGATCAAAAAGATCTAACAGACATATACAGAACATTCTACCATGAGCAGAAAAACAACCATTTTCTCAAGTACACATAGAGCATTCTCAAGGATAGATCATATGTTACAACACAAAAATAGTCTTAGAAGACTGAATTATAACAAATAAACTTCCTTACCACAATGGTATGAAACTAGAAATCAATAACAAAAAGAAAACTAAAATTCAAAAATATATGGAAATTAACACATTCCTAATCAATCAATGGGTCAAAGAAGCAATCAAAAGAGAAATAAAAAAAATCTTGAAACAAATGAAAACAAAAATACAACACACCAAAACATATAAGATGCAACAAAAGAAGCACTAAGAGGGAAGTTTAGAGTGACAAATGCCTACATTAAGAAAAAAGAAAGATCTCAAATAAACAACCTAACTTTACACCTCAAGAAAGTATAAAAAAAGAATGAACTAAGTACAAAGTTAGCAGAGGGAAGCAAATAATAAAGATCAAAGCAGAAATAAATGAAATAGAGACCAGAAAAAAAAATAGAAAAGATCAGTGAAATTAAAAGCTGATTATTTAAAAAGAAATAAAATTGACAAAACCTTTAAGCTAGACTAAGAAAAAAAGAGAGAGGACTCAAATAAATAACATACGAAATGACAGAGAAGACATTAAAACTGATATCACAGAGATACAAAGGATCATAACAGACCATTAATAACAATGATACAACAACAAATTAAGTCGCCTAAGAGAAATGGACAAATTGGTAGAAACATACAACCTACCAAGACTGAGTCATGAAGAATCTGAAAAAAATAAATAACAAGTAAGGAGATTGAATCCATAATAAAATAGTTTCCAATGAAGAAAGCCCAGGACCAGATAATTTCACTGGTGAATTCTACCAAAAATTAAAAAAAAAAAAATTAACATCAATCCTTCTTAAACTATTCCAAAAATTAAAAAGGAGGGACTCCTTTGTTCATTTTTCAAGGCCAGTATTAACTCAAAACTAAAGCCAGACAAAGACACTACAAGAAAAGATAACTACTGGCCAATATCCCTGATGACTATAGATGCAAAATTTCTCAACAAAAAATTAGTAAACCAAATTCAAGAGCACATTGAAAGGATCATATACCATGATCAAGTTGGATTTACCCCTGAAGTGCAACAATGGTTCGACATCCACAAATCAACCAATGTGCTACACTACAATAATAGAATGAAAGATAAAAATCATGTGATCATCTGAACAGATGTAGAAAAAGTATTAGACAAAACTCGACATTCTTTCATGACAAAAATTTTCAAAAAATTGGGTATAAAGAGAATATACCTCAACATAATAAAGGCCACATATGACAAGCCCACAGTAAATATTATACTCAATGGCAAAAGTTGTAAAGTTTTCCTCTAACATCAGGAACAAGACAAGGATGCTTACTCTTATCATTCTTATTCAATATAGCACTGGAAGTCCTAGCCCAAACAATAAGGCAAGAAAAGGAAATAAAAGACATTCAAATCAGAAAGGAAGTTGTAAAATTTTCTCTCTTTGCAGATGATATAATCTTACATATAGAAAATACTAAAGATTTCACCCAAACTACCTGGTAGATTAAACTAATTCAGTAAAGTTGCAAGATACAAAATCAATATATATAAAAATCAGCTGCATTTCTATACACTAACAACAAACTATCTGAAAAAGAAATACAGAAAATAATTTACAATCTCATCAAAAAACGATAAAATGCTTAGGAATAAATTTAAGTAAAGAGGTGAAAAACATGTACACTGAAAATTAAGACTTTGATTAACAAAATAGGAGATACAAATAAATGCAAAGACACTTCATATTCATAAATCAAAAGCATTAATGTTGTTTAAATATCCATACTACACAAAGCAATATATAGATTTAATGCAATTCTATTAAAATTCTATTTTTCACAGAAACAGAAAAAAAGATTCTATAATTTATATGGAACCACAAAAGACTGAGTAGTCAAAGCAGTCTTGAACATGAAGAATAAAGATGGAGGCATCACGCTGCCTGATTTCAAAGCTATAATAATTTTAAAAGTATGGTACTGGCATAAAAACAGGCACATAGACCAATGGAACATAATCTAGAACCCAGAAATAAACCCTTGCATATATGGTTAAATAATATTTGACAAGGGAGCTGAGAATGCTCAATGAAGAAAGGACAATCTCTTCAATAAATAGTATTAGGAAAATTGTATAACCACATGCAAAATAATAAAACTAAACCCCTATTTTATGCCACTTACATAACTTGACTCAAAATGGATTAAAAACTTAAGCATTAGACCTGAAAATGTAAAATTCCTAAAGAAAACATAAAAGAAAAAACTGCTTTTTTCCTTCTTTTTTTCTCTAGAAAATCAGATTTCTGAGTCTCAACAGCAAGTCATCAATCAACCAAACAAGATTCCATGTAAGTCATCATAAATGAGCCTAAAAAGGCTTGTTTCTACCTAGCATGCTGTGTGTGCTAACACATATGGAAACCTCTCACCTTTGAGTGGACAAGCAGGTAACTGGTAACAATACCTTGGGAAAGAAAGCTGTGGGTGATAAAAGTTCCTTACACAGGGTACTCTCCCCCCGCCCCCACTGTCTTCTCCAGTTTAAAAACTTCTTTACATGAGTATTGGCAGTGAATTTTTTGGATATAACACCAAAGGAAATGCAGCAAAAGCAAAAATTAATAAGTGAGACTATATTAAACCAAAAAACTTCTGCACAGAAACAGTAAACAAAATGAAAAGGCAACTTATGGAATGGAGAAAATATTTGCATATCATCTATATGATGAAAGGTTAATCCAAAATATATAAAGAAGTCATATAATTCAATAGGGGAAAAATCCAATAATCTGATTTAAAAACGGACAGAGAAACTGAATTGACATCCAAATGACCAGAAAGTGCATGAAAAGATGCTCATCGCTAATCATCAGGTACATGCGAATCAAAACCACAGTGAGATATCACTTTATACCTTTTAGAATGGCTATTATAAAAAGATAAAATAACAAGTGGTGGCGAGGAAGTGGAGAAAAAGAAATCCTTGAGCTCTCTTCGTGGAATGTAAATTGGTGCAGCCACTATGGAAAACGGTATGGAGTTTCCTCAAAAAATTAAAAATAGAAATATCATAAGACCCAGCAGACTAACTTCTGGGTATATATCCAAAGGAAATGAAAGCAGGAGATTAAAGAGATATCTGCTCTCCTATTTCACTGTAGCATTATTCACCATAGCCAATACATGGAAACAACCTGAGTGCTCATCAACAGATAAATGAATAAAGAAAATATGGTAGGTATATGTACAAGCATAATAGCAAGACATAAAAAGAAAAGATCCTGTTATTTGTGATAACATGGATGGACTTTGAGAGCATTAGACTAAATGAAACAAGTCAGACAAAGGAAGACAAAGGTTGCCAGAGGGTGGGGAGTGGGGGGAGTGGGGAAGGAGGAGGTAGACAAGGTCAAGGGGGTCAAATATGTGGTGACAGAAAGGAAATCTAACTGTGGGAGGTGAACACAGTGTACATATATATACGCCTTATTGTTAAAGTGTACAGCTGGAACTTACTGGATTTCATTAACCAATATCACCATAAAAAATTAATTACTTAAGAAAAAAGACAAATAATGTATGATCTCACTTATATATGGAATCTAAAGCGGTAGTTACTAGGGGCTAGTGGGTAGGAGAAATGGGGATTTATTGGTCAAAGTATACAAACTTCCAGTTATAAGATGAATAAGTTCTGTGGATATAATATACGGCATGGTGAGTACAGTTAAAATTACTCTATTACATACTAGAAAGTTGCTATGAGAGTAGATCTCAAATGTTCTCAACAGACACACACACGAAATAGTACTTATGTGAGGTGATGAAGGTATTAACTAACCTTTCGTGGCAATCAGTTCACGATATATAGGTGTGTCAACTCATCACATTATACACCTTAAATTTACATGTTATATGTCAATTATACCTCAATAAAGCTGGAAAAAATTTAAAAAAAGAAAGAAGCCTAGGATAAATTTTAAGGACCTATGCAGAAGAAAGGGAGCTCACAAAGAATCAGAAAAAACCCCAGAGAAATGGTGGGGGAGGGGTCAAGAAGAATAGGTGTTGTGGCAGCTAAGGAAACAAAATATTTCATAGAGGGAGATTTCAAAGGTATCAAATGCTGCAGGGAGGCACTGGGTAATGAGGAATGATTGATTTAGCAAGAAGAAGGCCTTTGGTGACCTTGGCAAAGGCAATTTGGAGAAACGGCGAGTGTGGAGACCAACAGGGGAGCAGTGGGCTGAAATCTGAGAGGAGCAGAAGTAGTGGAGCAGCTGTGGTCAGAGTGGCAAGTGTGAAAGCCAAGTCAAATTTCCTGAGTTAATTTTGCAGCTCTTCCTTTGCCCACTGGCTTCCAACCTCCTCCTTACCCCTACACTCATACATTCAACTACAAGTATGATTGGCAGTGGCCTCTTATATCCTGAAAGTTGGTGATATACTTTCTAGATCTCTTTTATTCTTTATCCCCTCAGTTCTACCACTACAACCACAAGCTTCCTTATGGTTCAAATGGGTCATTGTCTATAGTACACCAGCTGGTGTCTCTAATGATATTCTTGTTTGTTTCCAATTTGCCTTTTACACACCAAGGTACTCACTATCAACCTTTAATGTGAAATATTTCAGATTTTCCAGTCAAGATAGAATGGGTAAATGCTGTGTTCACCTCCTCTCACAACCACATCAAAAGTATAGCTAAACTGAGAACAACCATCATTAAGAATCACCTGAAGTCTAGCTGAACAGAGGTCCTACACCTTAGGATATATAGAAGAAGCCACCTCCAGGTTGGTAGGAGGGACAAAGGTGCAGAACGGGCTGGTCCCACACCCGCATGTGGCAGTTTAAAATTGGAAGAGATATCTCCGCTGAGGAAGGCCTCCGCAGAAAAGCGAGGTTCCCACAAGTTTTGGCTCTGATAAAACAGTGGAGATTGTGGCTGAGTGAGATGAAAAGCAGCTGGAGTCACAGAAATTCCTCTTAAGGGGCCTGAGGGAAGACTTACTCATTGACAGACTCTCTCACTCTGAGCTCCAGCACTGGGACAGTAGCTTGAAAGGCACCAGGGACATATCTGAAGGAACTATATTGTCTGGTTTTAAGTCAAGGCTTGGAGGGGCAGCTTTCTCCTAGATAAAAGTACAGGTAGAATCCATGGTTCCTTTGTTGAGCCCTCCTCGCTGCCAGTGTCTAGACATAGGCAGCCACCATATTTGAGTCTCCATCAATCTGGTTAATACTTGTCACCCTGCCCTGCGATTCCCTGAAACTCTGTTCCATCCACCTTGCAGGCCCACTTACTTTGCTTCCATTGGCTTTTCCATACAAACAGCCTGTCTTGGCTTATGCTATGGAATTTCCTAAAATCTCTCAAAGGTTCACAAACCTCAAACAAGCAGCATATGGCCTCAGCCTGCCCAGTACATTTTATGAGCAATTCCAAGCCAGGAGCTAGTGACAGGCAACCTCGATTTTTGGCTTGGCCTTTCGTGGCATTTCCAAGCCCAGCATGAGTGGTGGCCACCTGCAGATAGCTTTGTGGCTTATGCCAGGTGGCCTTAGACAGGGCATAGACTGTGACTAAAGTTGGCCTGTAGCAGGACCCCTCCCCTAAGGTCCTGGCGCCAATACACCTAGGGGCTGGATTCAGAGGGAGCCAGAGCACCACTCTGAGGACAATACACCCAAAGGGCAGACTGGCCAGGTACCAGAGCCCTGTTAAAAAAAATCCAGCTCTGTAGGGTCAGCCCCTCCACTGTAGTCACAGCCAGTCCTGACAACTAAACAGCCTGAGAATTCAATCCCTCCCATTGATGTGCAAATAGCAACCAAAGCTCAACTGCAAAAGAATGGTACACACAAGCTACACAACAGACATACCTCATAGTTCAGGTGACCAGAGAGACTGCTCCATTGGGCCTTACAGGACACCTACTACATAAAGTCATTCTACTAAGACCAAGCAGGCCTACCTAATAGAAACAAACACAGGGAGGCAGCCAAAATGGAGAGACAAAGAAACATGTCCCAAATGAAAGAACAAAACAACGCTCCAGAAAAAGAACTAAACAAAATGAAGACAAGCAATCTACCAGTTGCAAAGATAAAACACTGGTTATAAGGATGCTCAATGAACTTAGGGGAAGAGTAGAGGAACTCAGTGACAACTTTAACAAAGAGATAGAAAATATAAAAATGAAGATAGATAACGTAAAAAAGAACTAGTCAGAAATGAAGACTATAATAACTAAAATGAAGAATGCATTAGAGAGAATCAATAGTAGATTAGATGAAGTAGAGAATCGAATCAGCAATTTAGAAGATAAGGTAACAGAAAACACTCAATCAGAACAGCAAAAAGAAAAAAGAATTTAAAAAAATCGAAGATAGTTTAAGGGGCCTCTCGGATAACAAGTGTACGAACATTTACATCATAGGGGTACCAGAAGGAAAAGGCAGAGAGAAAGGACTTGAAGACATATTTGAAGAAAAAATGACAGAAAATTTCCCTAACCTAGTGAAGGAAAGAGACATACAATTCTGGCAAGCACAGAGAATACCAAACAAGATGAACCAAAAGAGGCCCACACCAAGACACATCATAATTAAGATGCCAAAGGTTAAAGACAAAAAGAGAATCTTAAAAGCAATAGAAAAGCATCTAGTTACTCCCAAGGGAGCTCTCATAAGACTGGCAGCTGATTTCCCAACAGAAACTTTACAGGCCAGAAGGAATTGGCAAGATATATTCAAAGTAATGAAAAACAAGGACCTACGACCAAGATTACTCAACCCAGAAAAGCTATCTTTTAGAATCGAAGGACAGATAAAAAGCTTCTCAGACAAGAAAAAGCTAAAGCACCAAGCCAGTACTACAGGAAATGTTGTAGGGACTTCTTTAAGAAGAAAAAAGAACAAAAGATAAAAAATATAAATAATAAAATAGCAATAACTAAATCTCTATCAACAATTACTTTAAATGTAAATGGATTAAATGTCCATTCAAAAGACATAGGGTGACTGAATGGATAAGATAATAAGACTTTTACATATGTTGCCTACAAGGTACTCACTTCAGATGGAAAGACACATAACAGACTGAAAGTAAAGAGATAGAAAAAGATATTTTATGAAAATGGAAATTAAAAAAAAAGGCTAAAGTAGCAATACTTATATCAGAGAAAATAGACTTAGAAATGTGGGCTGTAACAAGAGACAAAGAAGGACCTAGTAATCCCTCTTTTGGGTATTTATCCAAACAAACCCAAAACACTACTTCATAGGGACATGTAAATCCACATGTTCATTTCAGCATTATTTAAAATAGCCAAGATATGAAGACTACCTGGGTGTCC